ATATTATTAATTTTATATTTTAATTTCAAATTTTAATTTATACTTCCTCAATAATTTTATATTTTAATTTTAAATTTTAATTCTATTTATTATTATTCTAACTTAATTTGTGGATTCTCTGTTTCCCTTAAATGACGTGTTTTACGAGTAATGATGTGTTATATTTTTATCGGACGGTGGTATCGACGTGATATTCCAGAATTTCTCCATCATCCGTCCCCTGCCCTTTCCCCGCTTTCTGTCTGACACCTCCAATCCAAAGAGTACCTAATACTTGTATCTTTCCCAATTTGAGCTCGATCTGATCGTATTGAGAAACCCTCCAAGTTTACGCCATGTTTCTTACCGATTGGTTTTATCGAGTTCTTGCTTTCTTCGGTCTGTGGCAGAAGAAGGCGAATATCTTGGTTCTGGGTCCTGAAAGTGAAGTAAAGACCGCCTTGCTTTCTTGGTTGGGAGATGAGGTTCGTTTTCAATTTCATAATTATCTGTGTTTATTTGATTTTTCATCAGTTTTTATCTAACTGGAATGAAATTCTGGATCCCTAAATCTTGTTTCATCGTTTACGATTCGTAAAACTCAGAATTCCCCTCTTAATTGAACCTGACTTGTGAGCTGATTTTCATCTTTTGAGTTAGGAAAAGATGAAAAACTGATGAACTTAAACTCATTAAGTGCCCCCTCATGCTTCATTTTACCTTATCTGCTTGAATATAAGTAATAACTACTGTGTAATTAAGCTCTGGGGTTCGGACATTGATCGTTGGTGAACTGTTCGCAGGGGATATATATTAGGAATATTAACTTCAAGGGAATTGATTTCGCGAATTATAAGACTGCACGCAGAGTCTTGACGGACTACAATTTGAAGGTAAAGTAAAAAATGAAGCTTTTTTTTTTTCTCATGATCCGTTTGTTTCTAATTACAACCTTTTCATCCTGCACATTTTTTATTATTTTGAGTATCTCAAGCTGTAGAGATACCAAATTTTGTTGCTTTCTGAGTTTGATGTCCGATTGGTTAAATTTTGCCTCATATTTGACAGCACGCATTTTAAATTAAGCCTTTAGGTTGACACTTATAGATCTCATATGCAGACCATAATTTGGAAATCTTTTCAAAGCGGGTTTAAAGGGTTAATTTGGTTAATTTGGTTAGGCCTGTAATATGGCCAAATTTACAATTGTGCATGGAGAATTGTTTAATTGAGATATGAACACATCTTACACAATACCTTAGATAGGCATAAGATGATATCTTACCATTGTTGCGTCCACTTTCCTTGAAACATGTTGCTCTAGTTATAGTTGATGTTCAGGCAGCTTTAAGAACTCTTACTGTTGAGATCATGAGCAGCTCCAACACCTGAAAATCCTGCCACATGTAATTACTCCATTGGTATGCTTGCAAAAATAAGAGTTCACGCAAAAATAAGAATTATCCAGTGTAAGGAGAGGGGGCACCCTTTCTGCCTTCTGCATGCTCTGAAAAACTTCTTTATGTAACATTTCATTTCATGTTTTACATATCATCAAATCTTTTATCTGTTTTTGTTTTTGGTTATAAAGAGTCTTTGTATTAGTTTCATTTAGAGAAAAAATAAATAAATAAGAAATCATTTTCCTCTTCTTCTTTTCTTTCTGATAAAGACTTGTTTCTTGTCAATTTAGACTGGGGCAGTGAAGGAGTGGTGGATTTGCACCCAAGTCAGCATTTGAAATAGGGTTGGGTTTATGTGGTGCTTTCAATCACTTATTCATACATTGAACTTATCGTGCCTTTCACCATTTCTCAATTCAATTGTTATTTTCTGTAATAAATTTGAAATTTCTGTTTATTGGTTTGTCAGTGTTGCTCAATAGTTTGTTTTTGGTTGTCTTTGCTAGTAAATACTTTTAATCTGTAATGTCCTGTTCTCAGGTGGATGCAATTGTGTACGTGCCTTCCATTTATGGCTGTTGGCCTCCTAGTTTTCCTGTTGAACCTCTATCAGTTGAAGTAGTGAAAGCACTCCTTTCTGCTCAGTTTCAATCAGCAGCAGAACTGGGGGCACTCCTTTCTGATGAGGCTCTTGCCAACGTCCCATTTCTTAGACTGGCAGCCGACGCTGAGCCCGTAGTCGCTGAGCCCGTAGTCGCTCAGCCCATAGTCGCTCAGCCCGTATTCGCTGAGTCCGTAGTCCATAAGTGGCTTGCCCGGAATGTCCATGACCAAGACGCAATTTTTGTACGCTTAAATGGCGGTCCGGAAAAAAAAAATCACATGGGACCCTTCTAGCGGATGTCGTGATGGCTTCGAGTGGCTGTCTCAGTACATCAGGTAAGCTAATGATAAGGAAGATGTGTCAAGAGACACTCTGTTACGGAGCCCAATTCAACTTTACCATGCTCTTCCTCACCCAGAATTGTATTCATGGGACTATTTTGAGCCGCCTTAAGTAGGTTTTGAATTGAATGTAATTCGTTTTGGATATATGTGGGGAAGGAGGTATTAAAATGTCACTAGGCTGCCAAATCTGCATATTGCAGTATGTCTCTGGTATTGTAGGTTGTGGCATGAACTTTCTCCATCTCTTGCTTATTCAAGCTCTTAAATATTATTGTGAACTGGCCTTCGGGTCCAGTGGTTCGTCCCCAAGTCTTAAATGCTTGGGTTTAGTTGGTCAAGAGTTCAATTTTCATTAATGTTTTGAAAAATTTACTTCGTTTTCCCAATTGTCCCCAAGTCCTAAGTGCTTGGGTTTAGTTGGTCAAGAGTTCAATTTTCATCAATGTTTTGAAAAATTCTCTCCATTTTCCCAAATTCTTAATGTTTAAAAAAAAAAAATGCTCTTAAATATTATTGATTTTATGCTAACATTTTATGAGGTTTTTTCCTCCAAGCCAACTTCATTCATGAAACATTATTATTATGTACCTGTTATCTCAGGTCCTGCCATTTTTATCATGTTATAATGGCTTTACATGATGCTGATAATAAAATTAATGATAATTTTTATATTTTTTGATATTAATTAATATAAATAATATGATAATTAGGGTTTAAGAATTTAAGTTAAAAAACTTTATGTTAATTACTTAGATATTAAAGAGAAGATTAAAGTCTCATGAAAAAAAAAATAATAAAAGAAAAGATTAAAGGGTCTCGGAGATTGAAATTCCCTGTTAACTAAGGCGGGCGGAATTACGGGGCGGCGTCGTGGAAACCGGTATTAGAGGTAATATTTAATTAAATTTATGTACACTATTAATTTTAAAATTAATATTTATTTTTATATTTTTTATACAAATTTATTGTAAAAAGATATTTTTAAAACACATTAAAAATATCCATTTTATTTTATAATTTAATATCGTTTTAAATTACAAAAACAAGAAACTGCTCGTCTTTAATCATTGCTACTGAACCATCGTTTTGTTTTGGGAAAGTGCAAGAATTTTTGGAATTTTTGGACCATTTCTAGTTTCTTGTAATTCAG